AGATATCGATGTAATTGTTCAATATATCGATGTAATTGTTCAAGATATCGCTGTAGTTGTTCTAAATATCGGTGTAATTGTTCTAGATATCGATTCAGAGCCAATTGGTGAACTGGAGAGCATGTCACTTTCAATTGAAATGGTTCCCCCTGCAATGATCAACCTTCCACAGACACTATATCCATCCACAACATTTCATTCTACTTTCCCCCACACTCCACCGCGTTCATCCTGTTCAGTACACTCCACTTTGTTCACCACAGTCCTCTCTGTTCACCACAGTCTACCCTGTTCACCACAGTCTACCCTGTTCACCATAGTCCCCCCCCTGTTTACCACAGTTCTCTCTGTTTATCATACCCCACCGTTTTCTCTTCCATATTCCACCACATTCCATGGAATTCTTAACCCACAGCCCTATATTCTTGCTATAACGATATGTTCTTCCTGTTCTTCAGTGTTCTTTTACGCCCAACAGCGTCCGCCCTTCAGCTCAATCAAGTCGTCTGGGAAGAAGATCGTAAGTGCCGAAGGCTTCTGCTTTGAGATCCTTAAAGAGGTCGCAAGGAGACTCAACTTCACGTAAGATATTAGTAATATTAATACGAGATCCTTATAGCACTCTGGGGGATTCGAACCAATGTTCTGGGGGGCGTCTCTCCACAGCCGCGCGCCTTTACTCACTGGTCCATATCATTGTGATTTGCTACTGTGAATAATAATGATAGTTACAGTGACAGGGCTGAAACGTTTTAGTCACTTAACCCACAAACAAGTAAAGAACATAACGTCTATTTTGGGTAAGGATGGATTTGAAAAAACAAAATAGTTTCAAAATACTTTGAATTTGGCGCGAAAATAGTTTACTGCGGTGGCCGCTAGAGACGCTGCGAACACGTCATCAAGATGTCAGTTAAACCTCTATACTCTCTTGCAGGATCAAATTCAAATTTCAAATTCAAATGTTTTATTCAGGAAAAATACATACATAGATCATTTACAAACATAATGTTGGATTTATAGATAGAGCTAATACGTACAATACCTAAAGCCACTAGTACGCATAGCGTTTCGGGCAGCCAAGCTCTGTACTCCGTCATTACCTTTCAGATACACCATGGTGGAGTCCCCCGACGGTTCCTGGGGGTCCCGTATGCCAAATGGCACCTTTGACGGCGTAATTGGCATGGTTCAACGACAAGTAAGCCTTTATGGTCATTAGTAAGCATGACAAGGTAGACAGGGTTCAACAACAGGGGGGAGGGGTCGTAGATGCACACCCTCCCTATAAACAGCCTCCTGGTGCTTCGGAGCTCAATATCTGTTTAATAATTGTAAACAAAGCCGCCAAAGATTGAAGAAATATGTATACGTTCGTAAGTGCTTGTGTAATTTCTTCGTGAATCTGGCCCCTGAGCGTGAGTACAGCGTTCGGGGGCAGGCAGTAAGACAATGCGTTTTTCAGAGTGTGGATTTCGCCGTATCCGGATTCACCGTCAATTATTTGAGATCGATCGTGATTGACTTCAGCCATCCCTTCTACGACGAGTCACTCACCATCCTCATCCCGGCTCCCAGACAGGAGAACGATGTCTTGGCCTTCCTGAAGCCTTACTCCTGGCAGGTTGTTCTTCTGTCTGTCTGTCACCGTCTTCCTCTAGTCTGTCTGTTTCTGATTCAGATCTCCTCCTGTCTGTTCCTTCCTAGTCTCCTATTTTACGCCCAGCCTAGTTCCTCTGTTTCTTATTTTACCGTTTTCTACTCTCCACTCTAGTTCTTCTTGCTCTGATTCTTCCTCTCTCCGTGCCAAGCTCCCTCGTTGTTTTTATCCTTCCAAAGCATTTCCTTCCATCGTATCTTACAGCTTCCTCGCTTCTGTTTCCTTATCTCGTAGTCTTGAGCGTTTGTGTTCTCATAATACCTCTCATGTTATCTCTTACGACAAGTTCTGGTTATATTCTGTGGTTCTGGCGAGCCCAATGGTCAAGTGGAGCCTTGAATGCTTCAGGTCAGTTCCTGGTTTATATAAATCAACGATGCACAACATAATGTATACCAGACCATTAGTCGCAGTAATGTGGCTGAAGATATGATGACCAAACCACACTTTTGAAGATGGAGAGGACGACGACGTTTCGGTCCGTCCTGGACCATTCTCAAGTCATGTGTGATATAAGGTTGATAATGGTCCTTGATAAGGACCACATATACGACTTGTCAGTGGTCCAGGACGGACCGAAACGGCGTCGTTTCTCCATATTCTGATGCATATATTGGAATACAAAATATAATATTTGAATCTTGTGATATAACCAAGTGACTGTGGCTCTGGCGATACACAGGTATGGTCGGCGACGGCTGGCAGCGTGTTGGTGGTGGGTCCGCTGATGTGGGTACTCGCCACGGCGGGTACCCTACCCGCTGTGTACCCGCACAACACCCGCAAGGCCCGCTACTCGGTCTTGACATACGTGTGGGCCTGCGCCATCAGCCTTGTGTCCCAGAGTGAGTCTTTCCTCTTCCAGTCACACCTGTAAGCTTAACACTGTTGCTGGGCGTTTGACACTGGAATGGATAGATGGATTATCAATCTATTTTTTCCCTTCCGTCGATATTCTGGGGAAGGGCTAGCTGGTATAGTTAGGGCTGCCTGTCCCCGACAATGGAGAAGTTACAACATGCGTCAGATAGCTTCCCGCACTCCTGCATGCTGTCACATGCGGTAAACGGTAGTCCTCTCCCACAGGCTGTCGCATGCGGCAGACGGAGCCAATGCGGGTGTTGTACGGGGCGTGGTGGACCTTGGCGCTGGTGCTTATCTACACCTACAACAGCACCCTCACCTCCTTCCTGCTGGTGCCGCGTACGACAGCCCTTATCTCCTCCCTCGAGCAACTGGCCGACCAACGTAAGGTCCTCTGGACGCTCCGAGCCGGTACACCGTTCACAGACCTTGTCATGGTGGGTGTGTGTGTGTTAAACTTAAAACACCTCGTCTATATCTAAGTTTCACGATCAAAAAATGCTTATAAATAAGATGCTCTTTACGGTGCTATATGGTGACATTGGTCACTCTATTCTCAGTTCATCAAACTACAAATCATTCTTCGTTTTTCCATATATATTGAGCAATGTTGTGTTTTCGGTGGACCCTAGAGCGCCCATCCCCCCAGCACTTACTATAAGATCGGTCGTCTGGTGAAGGAGCGACCAGACCTCCTGGTGCAGGGAGACCTTCCGGGCGCCAGCGCTGTGCTTCAGGGTGGCAGGGTCTTCATTAAGGTATACTTAAGCCTTGAGATACCCCATTAAGGTATACCTTACCCTCATTAAGGCATTCCTATCCCTTGAGATACCCCATAGTATCCTTCCCTCCCCTCCCCCCTGGGTAAACACAGAGGATATATTATCCAAGAGTAGCGTTCGATGTTGATATATCTTGAATACAACTCTGATATTGATTAAAATATGTCACTTTTGACACTTAGTTTCAACCCATTAGTTACACAAAATCTTAATGTTCTAGTTACTCCTTAAAACAAGAAAACGAATATCATTTTCTTTGTTTCAAGGAAACGTTTTCTTTATTAAGGAAAAATCTTGGCTAGACTTCGCTATAGAGGCGGACTTCCTGGCGACCAATAAGTGCCGACTTGCCCAAGTAAATCAGTTATTCTACACCACTGGCTTTGCTTGGCCCTTTCCTAAAGACTCGCCCTTCCTCCAACTCTTCAATCATGAGTAAGTAGAACGACAAGAAAACTAAATATATGCATAAACGTGGCCCTTAAAATACGTATTATTTAAATAATTTGATTTAAACTTTTCCTGGGAAGGAAGGATGGTCGAAGTATATGACTAGCCACTGGCTTCCTGTCCCCGTTGAGGCCGCTAGAGATGATGGGCAGAGTTTCTTTCACCCTATGCCCCTGTTACCTAGCAGTAAAATAGGTACCTGGGTGTTAGTCAGCCGTCACATTCTGCTTCCTGGGGGTGGAGGCCTGGTCGAGGACCGGGCCGCGGGGACACTAAAAAAGCCCCGAAATCATCTCAAGATAACCTCAAGATAACCTCAAGATGGGTAAATGTATATAATTTACATTACATTAAACAACACTACGGTCCAATTTGATGCTTCACATCTCTGTACACTAAATCTTTCTTCTCAGAATCCTCAAGCTATCGCAGTCTGGGCTCTTGAGCGCCTGGAAGAAGCAGTTCTGGCCGAGACCCAACCGGTGCACGTCTGGGAAGATCGCAGCGACCTCGGGGCCCAAGGAACTACAGCTCAAGAACTTCACTGGCCACTTCCTCGTCCTCGGGGTTGGCGTCGGCCTAGCGTCGCTGGTGCTCCTGGTGGAGCGGTCGACGGCGTACACCAGGCGCCAGTTGTCGGTCGACGCCGGCGACGCGGTGGTGGTAGGCTGGTTGATATCTTATCGCTCGTAAGGGACGCTGCCTGCTATGTGATATCTTGTTTGTTATAGGATTATTAGTAGGCATCCATCAGTCTCAGGAGACTATGGAGTTGCGCTCTGGTTGTCGGTCTGGTGTGGCCTCTCCAGGGCGCAAAGCCCGGGTAGGTTGATATGGAGAAGCTGTTACCCAAGCAGCAGGTTTCCCCTCTCCACGGCGTTGAAAGTCTCCAATGGAAAGGCATTGATTTGCGGTTTTCCCAGGGCGAGGCTCACCATATTAGGCCTATACGGATGTATATTTACCTGAGTTTACCTGTGTTTACCTGAGAGCCACTAACACTAGTGACCTGGATGAGGACAGGAAGCCGGCAGCTTGTCGAAGGTCCCCTCCATTTGGCTTGATGATCTTTTCTAGCTGTACTTTAAAAGTTAACAGAAGAGTTAACAGATTGGGTCTGTTTCTGTGGAGCCAGAAAAGTTAATATTGAGTCTAGGATTGCTAATTTAGGCCTAGGATAGGCTAAGTTTGGCTGTGTGGTTACATTTGCATTTTTCGGGTTGCCATTTGCAGTGTTCCAATAATATAGAACGTGACTTTTTCGTACAAATGTCCATTTTTGTAAGTTCATCCAACAGTTGACATAAGAACTTTTTGAAGGCTGGGCTCCACATTACAAGACAAAAGCCTGTTTAAATTGCAACATTGCAGCGACAGTGTTATATCTCTTTTTTGTTCAGGCCCGAGTACAGCCGCGAGTGACTGTATCCTACTGACTCTTCACCACAGGAGCTGAGGGCTGTAGAGGGCTGAGAAGCTGAGGAATTAAGACGTCCCAGAAACGCCATCTTCCTCAGAAGGACCTCCAGGACCACCTACCCACAGAACGCCCCCTACAGGATCTTGAGACAACTCGTTGCACAATTGGCTTCGTTCTCGACTCAATCCCGGGCTGGATTCCCGGGCGAGACAGAAATGGTTCACCTAATCAGGCTTCCTGTCCCTGATAACGGAATTAAAACGACACTCACACAGAGCCTCCCACACAAAGGTCTTCAAGGGCTCATCGTAGAGAACACGATGTAGAAAACACAGTGTAGAAACCTTCCCGATTCCAGTGTGACTGCTGGTTATTGGTTTCTAGCGTAGGCGCCACACTTGTGCCTGCAGCTTTAGCTTGATTAGAACCCTTAAGTGCTCTCTGTTAAGGTCAAGTCTTGGGTGCAAATAAAGCTTGTATGTTAACCAGTCGAGTTTAATTTAACAAAATATATACATGGAAGGAGAATGTTAAACACTGAGGAGGGGAATTTAACATGATGACACACACACACACACACACACACACACACACACACACACACACGTTATATGACAAAGAGTGCTGGGAAGACGGGACACCACGAGCGTAGCTCTCGTCCTGTAACTACACTTAGGTAATTACACACACACACACACAATAAAGTGGAAATGCAGAATGGCGTGAAAGGTTTAATAGAAAGTATTTAATATAAACCCAAATGTTTATACTCTCTCTATTCCATCGACATTCCCTTCCCGTACCAGTCCTTTTCCCCTATTCCTCTTTTCCATTCCTTAATTTCTCAGATGAACTATTTCCAATCTGTCTCTCCTTCTCCAATTCTCATTTATCGTCCTAAACTCGCACCCAAAATTTTTTAATTAGTCTCCCCTCTCATACCGCCTTACAGCCTCGTCGCAATGATAAGACCATCTTAGGTGATGTTATCACCACCTGTGGCACCACCTGGGGGTTCTCAGGTGGTGGCAACAGGTGGTTGATATCAGCTGAGATCCCAGGAGGTCTGGGAGGTCCTCTTCCTCCTCCTCTTGGTCACTCTTGTCTTCAACAGCGCCAAAGGTACATTCTTCCTCTCAGCTTTTTCTTTGGTCCGTCCTCAGTCTGAAGCATTTACACGTTTATTTGAGAAATTTGAATACTTTTATTTAGGTCATAAAGGCTTTGTTAGGATTTATTTATAGTTTTCGAGTTTGGAAATTTCACAACTCCAACGTTTATGATTGTTGTAGACAATCTCGTGGCACTTCGGAGGTTATAACCTGTTTAATACATGTCAATAAGGCTGGTATGATCGTGGAGTGATGTACAGTGTTGGTGAGTGGATGAGTAAATGGTTGATGAATGTTGGTTTCATCATTCTGAATTTGGTGTCATTTTTCTGTAATATGTTCAGTGCCTTTACTCATCTAATTAGTACTTTTCCAGTACTCAATCTGCCATTTATTCATTCCTGTGTTGCTGTCTGCAGTGTTGCCAGCTTTTCGGAATGTGATGAGTTAGTGTATGAATTAATGGATGAAAACATGTATTAAAGTAAATTCTTCTTACTAAACGTATTTTGAAATGTTTACAGATAATTTCACTTACTAAGAGAGCCGGTTGGCCGAGCGGACAGCACGCTGGACTTGTGATCCTGTGGTCCCGGGTTCGATCCCAGGCGCCGACGAGAAGCAATGGGCAGAGTTTCTTTCACCCTATGCCTCTGTTACCTAGCAGTAAAATAGGTACCTGGGTGTTAGTCAGCTGTCACGGGCTGCTTCCTGGGGGTGGAGGCCTGGTCGAGGACCGGGCCGCGGGGACACTAAAGCCCCGAAATCATCTCAAGATAACCTCAAGAAGATACTCATTCATTCAAATAAGGATTGCATTTTCATCTTCACACGAGACCTCATGTTGCTCTCCTGTTGCATCTGCTAAACAGTTCCTGATCAATACGCTTTAGGATCATGTATGTCGCAATCATGGCTCTTTATTTCCGTCTAATGTAAGATAATGCTCCTTCAGTTTTTCAAATACTCTAACCATATGACAAATCATTAAACTTTCTCAAGTTTTGGGTTGGGAATTTTCATATTAGGGGTTTGTTGATTAGGAAACTGTAATTGCTTGAACAGCTTCTTGTGTTAGGTGGTTCTGATGATGGTTTAATCGGTGTAGTTAATAGGGTTTCGAACGACCTGCCAATTCAACCAATCAAGAGGCAGCGTTAGGCCTGAGAGGACGACATTGTTCCATCATGGTTGTGAGGGCTTCAGGGCGCTCTGGGGTCCTTGTCTGCTTAGTACTGCTGACGGCGGGGCCGACAGCTGCTGACCTCAGTTTGCTGACCTCTGAGGAAGGCTTCGTCGTCAGCGTCGACGGCACTGAGGTGAGTTTTGAGCTTAGTTTAATGCTGAGTTCAGTTCCCTTGTAACGTAGATCTGAGTCCTATTGTAACGTAGATCTGAGTCCTATTGTATCGTAGATCTGAGTCCCCTTGTATCGTAGATCTGAGTCCTATTGTACCATAGATCTGAGTCCCATTGTACCGTAGATCTGAGTCCCATTGTACCGTAGATCTGAGTCCCCTTGTACCGTAGATCTGAGTCCTATTGTACCGTAGATCTGAGTCCTATTGTACCGTAGATCTGAGTCCCCTTGTACCGTAGATCTGAGTCCCATTGTACCATAGATCTGAGTCCCATTGTACCGTAGATCTGAGTCCTATTGTACCGTACATCTGAGTCCCATTGTACCATAGATCTGAGTCCCATTGTACCGTAGATCTGAGTCCCATTGTACCATAGATCTGAGTCCCATTGTACCGTAGATCTGAGTCCTATTGTACCGTACATCTGAGTCCCATTGTACCGTATATCTGAGTCCTATTGTACCGTACATCTGAGTCCCATTGTACCATTGATCTGAGCCACGGGAGCCGGTGGCTGAGCCGACAGAACACTGGACGCGTGATCCTGTGGTCTTGGGTTCGATGCCGGGCGCCGGGGAGAAACAATGGGCAGAGTTTCTTTCACCCTGATGCCCCCTGTTACCTAGCAGTAAAATAGGTACCTGGGAGTTAGTCAGCTGTCACGGGCTGCTTCCTGGCGGTGGAAGCCTGGTCGAGGACCGGGCCGCGGGGGACATTAAGGCCCCGAAATCATCTCAAGATAACCTCCCTTGTACAGTAGATATAAGGGCGTATCTACTACTCGTCTACCCCTAATGGTCCCTCCCCCCCCCCCAGGTGGAACTACTGACCCTCTCCAGTAAACAACCCCTTCAACAGTTAACTCCCGTCTATCTATCTACCGCTAGGTGAACAGGAACATTAGGTGAAAGAAAACGTGCCCAATCATTTCCGTCCCGCCCTGGAATCTAACCTGGTATCTTCAATTGTCAAATCAAAAATCAAAATGTTAATTCAGGTAAAAGTACATACCCAGAAGATGAGTTACAAACATAATGTTGGATTTATAGAGAGAGTTAGTACATACAATACCTAAAGCCACTATAGTACGCATAGCGTTTCGGGCAAGGGGACCTCAGTTGTGAATCGAGAACGTAGCCACTGTAACACTGAGACCCCTGTTGACGTATAATGTTATTTTGTAAGCAAAACATGATATAATATACTTTATTATTATTCTTATAGAGAGAGAATGAGAGAGAGAGAGAGAGAGAGAGAGAGAGAGAGAGAGAGAGAGAGAGAGAGAGAGAGAGAGAGAAAGAGTCGAGAGACAGAGACTCTCTCCCCACACATCCTACCTTCAGTAATACTATCACCCTCATACAGCTGTTCAACCACACGTCAGAGGACCCCATCATCTGGGTCGGGTATGGCCACACAAACTTCACCGAGCACCAGGGGAACTTCAAGGTGGAGGAGGACCTTCTGCTCAAGTTACCCCTTCAGAACTTCCAAGTAATATCCAATACCCCAGATAGGATCGAACTCGTCTTGCAGTCGGCTGAGGACGCAGCCTTAACGGTGAGTGTAAACTATTTGAGTGTGCCCGAGAAACGTCAAATTAATGTAAGATCAACGTAATGTTCGTTATGTTGAATATGTAACCATCAGTGTGTTGTTGTAATGGTTAGATGGTTAGTGGTTCAGGGTAACAAGGTTGTTATCAGTGGTGACACAAAGATGTGTTACCACTGATAAGATGATAAGAGCAGGTCGCCAGGTGTCCTGGGTCATGTGTTCGTGAAGGGTACACCTGCCTCCTCCTACACCTGCACACACCTGACTCCTATACCTACACACATCAGCCTCTTCCTACACACACACACCTGCCTCCTTCTACACCTGCACACATCTGCCTCCTATACCTACACACATCTGCCTCCTTCTACACCTGCACACATCTGCCTCCTATACTACACACATCTGCCTCCTCCTACACCTGCACACATCTGCCTCCTATACCTACACACATCTGCCTCCTCCTACACCTGCACACATCTGCTTCCTATACCTACACACATCTGCCTCCTCCTACACCTGCACACATCTGCTTCCTATACCTACACACATCTGTCTCCTCATACACACATCTGCCTCCTATACCTACACACATTTGCCTCCTCCTATACACACACCTGCCTCCTATTACACCTCTACGCTGCAAGCTATTTTAATCTCTTTCTGAAGGAAAGCAAAAGTCTATAAGACTATAATCAGTACCAGTAGCTAAAAGTTTGAACCCGAGGCTCTTGTATCTACCCGAGGCCTCTGTATCTACCCGAGGCCCTTGTATCTACCCGAGGCCTCTGTATCTACCCGAGGCCCTTGTATCTACCCGAGGCTCCTGTATCTACCCGAGGCCCTTGTATCTACCCGAGGCCCTTGTATCTACCCGAGGCCCTTGTATCTACCCGAGGCTCCTGTATCTACCCGAGGCTCCTGTATCTACCCGAGGCCCTTGTATCTACCCGAGGCCCTTGTATCTACCCGAGGCTCCTGTATCTACCCGAGGCTCCTGTATCTACCCGAGGCCTCTGTATCTACCCGAGGCCTCTGTATCTACCCGAGGCCTCTGTATCTACCCGAGGCTCCTGTATCTACCCGAGGCTCCTGTATCTACCCGAGCCCCTTGTATCTACCCGAGGCTCCTGTATCTACCCGAGGCTCCTGTATCTACCCGAGGCCCTTGTATCTACCCGTGGCCCCTGTATCTACCCGAGGCTCTTGTATCTACCCGAGGCCCTTGTATCTTCCCGAGACCCTTGTATCTACCCGAGGCCCTTGTATCTACCCGAGGCCTCTGTATCTACCCGAGGCTCCTGTATCTACCCGAGGCTCCTGTATCTACCCGAGGCCTCTGTATCTACCCGAGGCCCTTGTATCTACCCGAGGCTCCTGGATCTACCCGAGGCCCTTGTATCTACCCGAGGCTCCTGTATCTACCCGAGGCCCTTGTATCTACCCGAGGCCTCTGTATCTACCCGAGGCTCCTGTATCTACCCGAGGCCCTTGTATCTACCCGAGGCTCCTGTATCTACCCGAGGCCCTTGTATCTACCCTAGGCCCTTGTATCTACCCGAGGCCCTTGTATCTACCCGAGGCCCTTGTATCTACCCGACGCCCCCTGTATCTACCCGAGTCTTCCAGGCAGAAGAACCACGAATATTTCGTCATTTCAGGTTGACTTCAGTCTGACGAAGGGCTCCGAGACGGAAGAGTACTCAGTCGTGAGGCTCAGCGCTCAGGCCGTCTACCCCAGCGATAGTCTCTATAACCGCTTGTGGGTGAGGTTGTCTACTGACGAAGAGGAACGGGTGTGGGGAGCAGGGGAGCAGTACTCTTACCTCAACCTGAGGGGTCATTACTTCCCCATCTGGACCACAGAGCAAGGTAACCCCACGAGGGAGCGGGGGAGGGTCTGGGTGTGTGATGGTAAGGGGAGGAGAAGAACCATAGAAAACGTAAACAAATGTTCTGTCTTCCCAAGAGATGACGTAACTACAATATTTTGTTGTTGGAAGATTATAATGTTTTTACAACGTTTTGTTTTTGTAAGATTATAACGTTTTGTTTTTGCAAGATTATTACATTTTTACAACGTTTTGTTTTTGTAAGATTATTACGTTTTTACAACGTTTTGTTTTTGTAAGATTATTACGTTTTTACAACGTTTTGTTTTTGTAAGATTATTACGTTTTTACAACGTTTTGTTTTTGTAAGATTATAACGTTTTTACAACGTTTTGTTTTTGTAAGATTATTACGTTTTTACAACGTTTTGTTTTTGTAAGATTATTACGTTTTTACAACGTTTTGTTTTTGTAAGATTATAACGTTTTTACAACGTTTTGTTTTTGTAAGATTATTACGTTTTTACAACGTTTTGTTTTTGTAAGATTATAACGTTTTTACAACGTTTTGTTTTTGTAAGATTTTCTTCATCATAATTCTATGGATGTATCTATGAATCTATGAGTTCATAGATACATAGAATTCATAGATTCATAGATACATTCATAGAATTCTGAATGAATAGATTCATAGAATTCATAAGATTCATAGATACATTAAGATTTTGTAAGATTTTTTTAACGTTTCTACAACATTTTGTTATTGTAAGATTATAACGTTTTTACAACATGTTGAATATGACCGAAAGGGTAATATTAATAATTCTAACATGAATCTTCTCAATATTTTTTTCCGTTTTTCTTCACTGTCGAGTGTAATTGAAAAATTAACTCTCCAAAATTCATTCTTTATTTTTGGTCTGAACGCATTTCGTAATGGTTCTTACATTTTCAAAGACTAGTTTACACATAACATACATCATATTTATACTCGTTTTGGGTGAGGTGACAGAACTATGCCATAACACGAATCAATGGGTATGAAAACATAAGAATGGAAGTAACTGCAGAAGGGCCTTCTGCAGTTACTCGCGTGGCGATCCTATCATATCCAAATCCCAGAATGATACCGGAAAGTTCCCCAACGTTCTGGTTTGGTTGTCCAATGTTTCCTTTAGGTTGCTGAAATGTTGTCACAACTATAGCTTAACGCTACACCATCGCACAACCTTCTTACAACGTTTCTACAACCAGGTATTCAGGTTTTATGTGAACGGAACACTAAAGCAATTCACATTGAAATCACAGTTACGTAATATAGTTATGAGTAAATACTGAAGCCATTGAGTGGGATCGAACCTGCGTCTCCGGACTTGTAGAGCTTCAATATTTTCTCACCAGTATAGTGTGGTCACAGGGGACAGCATGCCAGCAGACAGCCTGACCAAGGGCGACCTTCCACAGGAGTGGGACGAGACGGTATTATCGCCAACATTTCTGACCTAGACGGTGGTGCAGGAGGCCACTACTACACTACTTACTACCCTCAGGCATCCTTCTTATCCTCCAAGAGGTACTCCATGCTCATCCAAGACCACAGGTATGGTTGACCTTTGACCCCCGAGGTGTGGCTGTCTCTGGACCCCAGGTGTGCCTACTCTTTGACCCCAGGTGTGGGTATGGCTGTCTCTTGACCCCAGGTGTGGCTGTCTCTTGACCCCAGGTGTAGCTGTCTCTTGACCCCAGGTGTGCCTACTCTTTGACCCCAGGTGTGGGTATGGCTGTCTCTTGACCCCAGGTGTGGCTGTCTCTTGACCCCAGGTGTAGCTGTCTCTTGACCCCAGGTGTAGCTGTCTCTTGACCCCAGGTGTGGCTGTCTCTTGACCCCAGGTGTAGCTGTCTCTTGACCCCAGGTGTGGATGTTCCTTGACCCCAGGTGTGGCTGTTCTTTGACCCCAGGTGTGGCTGTTCTTTGACCCCAGGTGTGGCTGTTCCTTTACCCCAGGTGTGGTTGTCTCTTGACCCCAGGTGTAGCTGTCTCTTGACCCCAGGTGTAGCTGTCCCTTGACCCCAGGTGTAGCTGTCTCTTGACCCCAGGTGTAGCTGTCCCTTGACCCCAGGTGTAGCTGTCTCTTGACCCCAGGTGTAGCTGTCCCTTGACCCCAGGTGTAGCTGTCCCTTGACTCCTGAATGCAACCCACAACAGTTGCCTAACTCCCTGGTACTTATTTAGGTGAACCGTAGTATCAGGTGAAAGGAAACGTGCCTAACCACTTCTGTTCAGGGACGGCTGGACGGTAGAGCGACGGTCTCACTTCATGCAAATCGGCGTTCAATCCCCGACCGTCCACAAGTGGTTGGGCACCATTCCTTTCCCTCCGTCCCATCCCAAATCCTTATCCTGACCCCTTCTCAGTGCTATATAGTCGTAATGACTTGGCGCTTTCCCCCCTGATAGCTCCCTTCCCTTCCTCCCAGGGATCGAACCTAGGATCCTCAATTATGAGTTAAGGACGTAGACCACTGTGCCACAGGCCCATGTCATCTATGGTCACTCTCCTGTGTATACTTACACACTTCAGCACCTGGTGACTCCCTCTGCCAGGTACCTCGTCCTCGACTTCACGGACCCGACGCGGCACGAGGTATTCCTTCACAGCGACCGGCTGGAGGCGTCGACGGTGTGGGGGTCAAGCCTTTTGGGCACGGTCCAGGCGGTGACCACCATCCTTGGCACTCAACCTCCCCTCCCAGAGTGGATCATCAATGGTGCCTGCCTTGGTCTCCAGCATGGCACCCAGCAGGTAAGGTCTACTCCAGCATGGCACCCAGCAGGTAAGGTCTACTCCAGCATGGCACCCAGCAGGTAAGGTCTCCTCCAGCATGGCACCCAGCAGGTAAGGTCTACTCCAGCATGGCACCCAGCAGGTAAGGTCTACTCCAGCATGGCACCCAGCATGGCACCCAGCAGGTAAGGTCTTCTCCAGCATGGCACCCAGCAGGTAAGGTCTTCTCCAGCATGGCACCCAGCATGGCACCCAGCACGTAAGGTCCATTCCAGCATGGCACCCAGCACGTAAGATCTACTCCAGCATGGCACCCAGCACGTAAGATCTACTCCAGCATGGCACCCAGCACGTAAGATCTACTCCAGCATGGCACCCAGCACGTAAGATCTACTCCAGCATGGCACCCAGCACGTAAGATCTACTCCAGCATGGCACCCAGCACGTAAGATCTACTCCAGCATGGCACCCAGCACGTAAGATCTACTCCAGCATGGCACCCAGCACGTAAGATCTACTCCAGCATGGCACCCAGCAGGTAAGGTCCATTCCAGCATGGCACCCAGCATGGCACCCAGCAGGTAAGGTCCATTCCAGCATGGCACCCAGCGCTACTCAACAGTTGAGGCAAACATTGACACTCTGCTATGTCTTCACTACTTCAAAACGTATTTGATGCCATTTTGACCACCATGGTAAGAATTGGTTGTTGATTTTTGACCACCATGGTAAGAATTGGTTGTGATTTTTGACCACCATGGTAAGAATTGGTTGTTGATTTTTGACCACCATGGTAAGAATTGGTTGTTGATTTTTGACCACCATGGTAAGAATTGGTTGTTGATTTTTGACCACCATGGTAAGAATTGGTTGTGATTTTTGACCACCATGGTAAGAATTGGTTGTGATTTTTGACCGCCATGGTAAGAATTGGTTGTGATTTTTGACCGCCATGGTAAGAATTGGTTGTGATTTTTGACCGCCATGGTAAGAATTGGTTGTGATTTTTGACCGCCATGGTAAGAATTGGTTGTGATTTTTGACCAACATGGTAAGAATTGGTTGTGATTTTTGACCACCATGGTAAGAATTGGTTGTGATTTTTGACCACCATGGTAAGAATTGGTTGTTGATTTTTGACGTGGGAGTTGGTGTTCCACAGATGCTGTACTACTATGACATGGCCAAATCTGCCGGAGTGGTGGTGAGTGCCCTGTGGGTCCAGGACTGGTCAGGGACCACAGAGACCGCCTTCGGTCACCGCGTGTACTGGAACTGGCGCTGGAATCAAACTTATTATCCAGGTAATTGACACTCGAAAGTCTTTATTTTGCTCATTGTACACCCTGGACTCATGCTGTTGGGGGGTAGTGGGCCCTATACTCATCCTGTAGATGGTAGTGGGCCCCATACTCATCCTGTTGGGGGGTAGTGGGCCAAGTACTCATCCTGTTGGGGGGGTAGTGGGGCAAATACTCATCCTGTAGGTGGTAGTGGGCCACATACTCATCCTGTTGGGGGGTAGTGGGCCACATACTCATCCTGTTGGGGGGTAGTGGGCCCTATACTTATCCTGTTGGGGGGTAGTGGGCCCTATACTTATCCTGTTGGGGGGTAGTGGGCCCTATACTTATCCTGTTGGGGGGTAGTGGGCCCTATACTTATCCTGTTGGGGGGTATAGTGGGCCCTATACTTATCCTGTTGGGGGGTAGTGGGCCCTATACTTATCCTGTTGGGGGGTAGTGGGCCCTATACTTATCCTGTTGGGGGGTTGTGGGCCCTATACTTATCCTGTTGGGGGGTAGTGGGCCCTATACTTATCCTGTTGGGGGTAGTGGGCCCTATACTTATCCTGTTGGGGGGTAGTGGGCCCTATACTTATCCTGTTGGGGGGTAGTGGGCCCTATACTTATCCTGTTGGGGGGTAGTGGGCCCTATACTTATCCTGTTGGGGGGTAGTGGGCCCTATACTTATCCTGTTGGGGGGTAGTGGGCCCAATACTTATCCTGTTGGGGGGTAGTGGGGCAAATACTCATCCTGTAGGGAGATAGTGGGCCCCATACTCATCCTGTTGAGGGGTAATGGGCCAAATACTCATCCTGTTGGGGGGTAATGGGCCAAATACTCATCCTGTAGGGAGATAGTGGGCCCCATACTCATCCTGTTGAGGGGTAATGGGCCAAATACTCATCCTGTTGGGGGGTAGTGGGCCCTATACTTATCCTGTTGGGGGTAGTGGGCCCTATACTCATCCTGTAGGTGGTAGTGGGCCCTATACTCATCCTGTAGGTGGTAGTGGGCCCTATACTCATCCTGTAGGTGGTAGTGGGCCCTATACTCATCCTGTTGGGGTGTAGTGGGCCCTATACTCATCCTGTAGGTGGTAGTGGGCCACATACTCATCCTGTAGGGGGGTAGTGGGCCACATACTCATCCTGTTGACAGTAGTGGGCCCTATACTCATCCTGTAGGGGGGTAGTGGGCCCCATACTCATCCTGTTGGGGGGTAGTGGGCCCCATACTCATCCTGTAGGCGGTAGTGGGCCACATACTCATCCTGTAGGTGGTAGTGGGTCCCATACTCATCATGTAGGCGGTAGTGGGTCCCATACTCATCCTGTAGGGAGATAGTGGGCCACATACTCATCCTGTAGGTGGGTAGTGGGCCCCATACTCATCCTGTAGGTGGGTAGTGGACCCCATACTCATCCTGTAGGTGGGTAGTGGGCCCCATACTCATCCTGTAGGTGGGTAGTGGGCCACATACTCATCCTGTAGGTGGGTAGTGGGCCACATACTCATCCTGTAGGTGGGTAGTGGGCCACATACTCATCCTGTAGGGGGGTAGTGGGCCCCATACTCATCCTGTAGGGGGGTAGTGGGCCCCATACTCATCCTGTAGGGAGATAGTGGGCCACATACTCATCCTGTAGGCGGTAGTGGACCCCATATTCATCCTGTAGGGGATGAGTATGTTGTGGGCTCCATACTCATTTTGCTTTATAAATTCTTTTAAATTCTGTACACCAACTACTGCTAGACACGGAGGGTCGAGCGAGGTATGTAACAGAGTCAAACTCTCCTAGTAACTGCCCCATTCACACTGGATTTTATAGATAACAATAGCCTTTAAATCTTTCGGACGGGAGACATTTCCCGTCACGCAGGGTGTAGTCGCGCCTCCACAGATCTCCAGTATCAGCTCTTGATACTGGTAATAGCTCAAAAGGGCCACCACTTACGGGCTATTCATGCCCGTGCCACCTTTTGGGTGGCTTAATCTTTATCAATCAATCAATTAAATCTTTCCCAATTTGAACAGTAGCTCCCCCTACTGCACCCTAATCCCTCCCCTCAGTCGTTCAGGGATCACCGTTCTTCCCTACAGATCTGGACTTGACCATCCAGACTCTCCTGGAAGATGGTGTACGGGTGATGACTTACATCAACCCGCATCTGATTGAGGGCAGCGATATGTTCCAGGAGGCGGCTACTCTTGGTTATCTTATGATGGACGGTGCTGGGGACCCCTACAGGCAAGACTTTGGGGGGTTCCTGGCGGGTACTGTGGACCTCCTGAACCCCGAGGCCAAGGCTTGGTATAGAGGTGAGATGATTCGTATTTTATTTTACTCTTTGCGATTGCTATTTTTTTCATATCTTGTGTTCTATAATTTTTCTTCTCCGTTTTCTGTTTCCAAGTCAATGTTGCGTGGGTTGAAGTCACCCATAATTATTAGTCGGGATACATTCCTCTTCGTAACTCATGCATGTTTCGCTTTGATAGTTATTGTTGTATCTGTTGTACTGTATCTGTTGTATTCCTGTTTGAACCTCCTGCCGTTGTTGTGGATGGTTCTGTGTGTGCGCATGCTTGTGTGCGCATGAATGGATGCGTGTATGTGTAAACATTTGTTTACATTTTTGCTCACTTCGGAAACAAGGGAGATGTGAGTGACTCGGGTTTCCCTTCGCAGACGAGATGGTGAAGAACATGGTGGACCTCGGCCTGGCCGGCTGGATGGCCGACTTCGGAGAGTACACCAGACCGGATATGTTCTCCGCCAACCCGGCCCATGACCTGGAGGCCAGACACAACCTCCTGCCGGTGGAGTGGGCCAGCTGCAACAGGTCAGCTTCTACCACACTACTCAATCTTCGGCTCTACCCTGTATACCTCACTATCTACCCCTATACTATTCTACCACAGCTATTTCATTACAGAATAAAGTGTGTTTATATATATTCATAGACGTTACATATATATAATGTGTGTCTGTGAGTGTCTCTCTGAGTGTGTCTTACCCAGGGAAGTGCTTGAGGCATCCGGCCAGCTGGGGCAGGTGGTTCCGTTCATGCGGTCCGGAGGACTAGGGGCTTCAGGATACCAGGTGCTGGCTTGGGCGGGCGACCAGAACGTCGACTGGTCTCTGGGTGACGGTGTGGCCACCACCATCGTTGCTGGTGAGGCTGGTGGTTGTGGTGGTAGTTTTTGGTGGTGGTTGTGGTGGCGGTGGAAGAGAGACTTATAATTCACCGTCCTCACGCGAACCGATTTTATTTGTTGATGCTGTTGAGATTTTTGTGTTTATGTGTGTGTTTTTCGCATTTTTGCATCTTGATGTGCTTTAGTGACTCTTGCGTCCTAGTGGTGTGTTTAAGGCATTCACGAGGAATGACGTCCTAAAGTTCATAAAAATTTAAGGGTTTTAGAACCGATTGATTCTAATCACCTCGTTTCCTCGTCTACAGCGCTGAGCTTGGCGCTGAGCGGGATGGGGGTCACCCACTTCGATATCGGAGGGTACACAGCCATGCCTCCAGTCCTCGAGCGCAGTAAGGAGCTGTTTCTTAGGTCGGCCGAGTACGCTGTCTTCACGCCCGTGATGAGGACCCATGAAGGTAAGGTGGTGGGGGAGGCCGTGGTGGCCCGGCTTGTGTGTAGTTAGGTCTTGATCGTGGATGCAAATGGTCGTTAGGGGTTGTTTTGTAGTGTGTGTGTGTGTGTGTGTGTGTGTGTGTGTGTGTGTGTGTGTGTGTGTGTGTGTGTGTGTGTGTGCGTGTGTGTGTGTGTGTACTCCTCTAGTTGTGTTTGCGGGGGTTGAGCTCTGGCTCTTTGGTTCCGGCTCCAGTGTGTGTGTGTGTTTTATTAATGCTTTAATAACCCTCCAGAGGTTGATAGGCCTTAATAACCCTCCGGAGGTTGATAGGCCTTAATAACCCTCCGGAGGTTGATAGGCCTTAATAACCCTCCAGAGGTTGATAGGCCTTAATAACCCTCCAGAGGTTGATAGGCCTTAATAACCCTCCAGAGGTCGATAGGCCTTACTAGCCCTCCAGAGGTTGATAGGCCTTAATAACCGTCCAGAGGTTGATAGGCCTTAATAACCCTCCAGAGGTTGATAGGCCTTAATAACCCTCCGGAGGTTGATAGGCCTTAATAACCCTCCGGAGGTTGATAGGCCTTAATAACCCTCCAGAGGTTGATAGGCCTTAATAACCCTCCAGAGGTTGATAGGCCTTAATAACCCTCCAGAGGTCGATAGGCCTTACTAGCCCTCCAGAGGTTGATAGGCCTTAATAACCGTCCAGAGGTTGATAGGCCTTAATAACCCTCCAGAGGTTGATAGGCCTTAATAACCGTCCAGAGGTTGATAGGCCTTAATAACCGTCCAGAGGTTGATAGGCCTTAATAACCCTCCAGAGGTTGATAGGCCTTAATAACCGTCCAGAGGTTGATAGGCCTTAATAACCCTCCAGAGGTTGATAGGTCTTAATAACCCCTCCAGAGGTCGATAGGCCTTAAGTTCAACACCTAACCAAGCAAGTCCAAACTCAGTCTTGTGTCAAGGTATTGGACGTGATCCGCCTATATTTAGCTTCCAGGTAGCGCAGTATATAAGGTATACCAGAGGTATATTTTCCCGTGTGTATATTTGCTCACCCAAACTCTGCAAATTAGATTCTGGTGTTTAATTACACCTGTTTACGTGTGAGTGTATTATGTATTGATGCCGAAGTTAATGACTTAAGTGACGGTATAAAAAGGTGTTCTTACAGCCGTATTCAACCCGTCTATCCATACGGGTTCCTGTCTAACGAGCCATCTGTACCCGCGTCATTTTTTGTGCCTCTGTCTGTTCCTCTGTCTAAGGATCTTTCATTTCTTCCCTTACAGGGAACAAACCTGAGGCCAATCACCAGTTCTATTCTGATGAAGACACACTTAAGCAATTCGCTCGTTTGTCGCAGATACACTCCAAGCTTCTTCCCTACACCCGAGAGCTTCTTCAAGAGCTCTACACAACCGGTAAAGTCTTGTTCATCTCAGTAATCCCACAACCGGTAATTAAGGGAATATTCAAGTATCAGGGGTATGTTGACGACCGATGGTGGGTATATTCTGTGGCACTATGATGCCCTCTGACCCTTGATAAGAACATAGGGTACTTATGCCTTTACACACCAGTGCCATGTCTCCACCACTGGTGTGGAAGACCACTTGTGTCCCCTTCACATCAGGGGACAGCTGCATTCTCAACCATAACCCGCTCACAAATAAAAAAAAATTCTTAGTTCTAGAGGTTAGGTTATCTAATATCACAAGAGCATCTTAAGAGTATATTTTAAGATGGGATCAATTTCAGGTGTTTTCATGAAGTAATGGAAGACTGGAAATGACATCGTTACAATAGCTCACAGCACCGCTCCTGTGCCAGGTAGGTCCACTACGGGCTCACCATAGCCCGTGCTACTTGGAACTTGTTCCGAGTAGCTGAATCTATAACAACAACAACGACATCGTTACGTCTTTGACCTGACCTCTATGAACACTGGAGATGACCCGTGACCTCTATTTTGACCTCAGGCACGCCAGTCCAGCGACCTCTCTTCCTGGACTTCGAAGGGGACTCAGGGTCCTGGGATATCCAGTACCAGTACTTGTATGGGCCTGACCTGCTCGTGGCCCCAGTTATTCACAAGAACCAGGTGAGTTACGCCTTCCGTGGGTGAGTTACCCCTTCCGTGGGTGAGTTACGCCTTCCGTGGGTGAGTTACCCCTTCCGTGGGTGAGTTAGGATAAGGCTTACCATGAGCTATGGGAAGGGAAAGCTCTCAGCCAGCTAACAGGAGTCAGCAGTCGTCTGCTCCTGTAGCCTCCTGTGTAAAACTAGTAGGGTAAGGCTTACCATGAGCTATGGGAAGGGAAAGTTCTCAGCCAGCTAACAGGAGTCAGCAGTCGTCTGCTCCTGTACCCTCCTGTGTAAAACTAGTAGGGTAAGGCTTACCAAGAGCTATGGGAAGGGAAAGCTCTCAGCCAGCTAACAGGAGTCAGCAGTCGTCTGCTCCTGTACCCTTCTGTGTAAAACTAGTAGGGTAAGGCTTACCATGAGCTATGGGAAGGGAAAGCTCTCAGCCAGCTAACAGGAGTCAGCAGTCGTCTGCTCCTGTACCTTCCTGTGTAAAACTAGTAGGGTAAGGCTTACCATGAGCTATGGGAAGGGAAAGCTCTCAGCCAGCTAACAGGAGTCAGCAGTCGTCTGCTCCTGTACCCTCCTGTGTAAAACTAGTAGGGTAAGGCTTACCATGAGCTATGGGAAGGGAAAGCTCTCAGCCAGCTAACAGGAGTCAGCAGTCGTCTGCTCCTGTACCCTCCTGTGTAAAACTAGTAGGGTAAGGCTTACCATGAGCTATGGGAAGGGAAAGCTCTCAGCCAGCTAACAGGAGTCAGCAGTCGTCTGCTCCTGTACCCACCTGTGTAAAACTAGTAGGGTAAGGCTTACCATGAGCTATGGGAAGGGAAAGCTCTCAACCAGCTAACAGGAGTCAGCAGTCGTCTGCTCCTGTACCCTCCTGTGTAAAACTAGTAGGGTAAGGCTTACCATGAGCTATGGGAAGGGAAAGCTCTCAGCCAGCTAACAGGAGTCAGCAGTCGTCTGCTCCTGTACCCTCCTGTGTAAAACTAGTAGGGTAAGGCTTACCATGAGCTATGGGAAGGGAAAGCTCTCAGCCAGTTAACAGGAGTCAGCAGTCGTCTGCTCCTGTACCCTCCTGTGTACAAAACAAACATTACATGCTCTTACCAGTTCATTGTTCTTCCTACAGGAGACGCAGACGGTGTACCTACCTGGAGGAGAGACAGGCTGGACATACCTATGGGGAACTGAGACGGTACAGGGCCCTGTTACCGTCACAATACCGTCCCCTCTTGGCTACCCAGCCGTCTATTATAGACAGAACTCCTCCTGGATCTCACTCTTCCAAGAGATCAATCAAGAGTTTGGTCTTGAGAGCAAGAGGCGGTTGACCGAGTGATAGCAACCCGGTTTTGGGGCTTTTCATCGGGTTTTTGTAATCGTAGAGGATGCGGGCAGCTGACTAAATAGAAACCGCTATATCATTCTGCCTTCGCCTGTCTCTTTTCAGCCATGGGGGGAGGGGGGAGTTCTAAATTAAACTGTCATTTAGTACATATTTCTGTCTCTCTCTCTCCTTAAACTGTCTATTTTGTACTGTCTGCTATACAGTATATATATATATATATATATATATATATATATATATATATATATATATATATATATATATATATATATATATATATATATATATATCAGAGTATATACGACGAGTATAAGAAGCGTGGTCGAGGACCGGGCCGCAGGGACGTTGAGCCCCGAAATTATCACAAGGTAAAGAATAATTTTATCACACGTTAATCACTGGATTGCATCTTCTTGAGGTTATCTTGAGATAATTTCGGGGCTTAGTGTTCCCGCGGCCCGGTCCTCGACCAGGCCTCCACCCCCAGGAAGCAGCCCGTGACAGCTGACTAACTCCCAGGTACCTATTTTACTGCTAGGTAACAGGGACATCGGTGTGAAAGAAACATTTTGCCCATTTGCCTCCGCCTCCACCGGGGATCGAACCTGGAACTTCTGGACTACGAATTCGAAGCGCTGTCCACCCAGCTGTCAGGAGAAACTCATTCCCATGCCGGGAATCGAACCCGGGCCTCCTGGGTGAAAGCCAGGTATCCTAGCCACTAGACCACATGGGACACGATATACGATCTGATTGTAGCTTGTGTACAATCAGACCACAGTCAAGAGACACTCTATGCGCCACCCCTAAGAGCAAGAACTAGGATAAAATATTCACCCCTAAAAAAAGTATGTGATTGCGTTTTCTGTCTGTACGTCTTTATTTTATTTTTTATTTATTTGTATATATGCAAAAAATCTTACATTTTTTTACTTTCATTCTTCCAGGATAAATTTTTATATTTTTAAATTATTTTACTAATTCTTGTTAATTGATATCATGCATAAAAATCTCAATATACGTCAAAATAAATAAAATACAGTTTCTATGTAAAACATATCAAGTAAGAGGCGGATAAAACAATGAACGCGCCCGCCCTAGAGCGGGAACTATGTTAAATTATACACCCTAAGAACGCCTCGGATTACGTTCTCTGTCGGGGCCAGAGTTTGTGTACTCACCAAGTTGTGCTTGCAGGGGGTTGAGCTCTGGCTTTCTGGTCCCGCCTCTCAACTGTGTGTGTTGATTGGTGGGAGCGGGGCGGGTGGAGTCACCCGGTGAAGGGTGTTCTTGTAGTAAAGGCGGCCATTAAACGTCCCTTTTTCACTTTTCTATTATGTTTCAAAGGTGCCGAGGGCTATCTTCGATATCTTGAGATGATTTCGGGGCTTAGCGTCCCCGCGGCCCGGTCCACGACCAGGCCTCCATTTTTGTTACACATTCCCCAGGAAGCAGCAGCCCGTAGCAGCTGTCTAACTCCCAGGTACCTATTTACTGCTAGGGTGAACAGATGCATTAGCATGGCAGCAAGAGAAAGTGTACACACCTGGCTGGTATATTAAATCACACACCTGGATGGCAGTGTCCCATCACACATCTGCATGTGTCCCAGCACACACCTGGCTAGCTTTACTAAAAGTCGAATATAATATCGGGCTATATATATTGTTCTCACAAAATATATGTACATTAAAGTATTCAAAATATAATAAGTAGTATCTAAGACAGAGCAGGGTTGGATAGACTGCACATTCCTTGACTGTAAGGAAGCAATCGTCATTGCTCTTCACATGAGACCCCTAACTGAAGCACAGTGTCGAAAAGGAGTACCTCGCGGAAAGAAATCAGAAAGCCATAGTGAGATGTCAAAGAGGAGATTATAAAGGTCATTTTTGACCACTGTATTATAGAAAGCCTCCAAAACTTACTGGAATATGTATGGTGAAGGGTGATAAGGCTATAATCCACGGGATTGGAAAACCCATGGGATTAGAAAACTACGGGATTAGTAAACCAAGGGATTAGTAAACCATGGGATTATGAAGAGATTATGATGAATTAATTAGCTTTCTCATTGACGGTGAAGAATAAATGGGGGGGGGGGGGACTGAGGTATACAATTGGATAAAAGTGGATAACAAAGGGGGATTATAGACGTGGAATCGGTGGATTAAACCAAGTGTAGGTTGGATTAATAGGCGAGGATGGTTGATTATAAGCAGGAGATGCCTAGTTTCTGTCAATAAGGCAGACAGACAGACGACAGGAAGATAGGCAGTCAGACAGGCACAGACAGGTTGTGATGGAATATTACTGCCGTCCAGTACCGTCTTTCTGACCGTCTATCCTTACTGTCGATCTCTACCGTCGATAGACAGTCGTATGGTCTCACGCCCCGGGGCGAGGGTGGAGGCGAAAGCGATTTGTTTTTTGGTTAAATAATGAGTCTTGATGAAGTGGTGGAGGGTAGACAGTCTGCCCTCCGCGATGTGTCTTCTGGGTGCTGCTGCTGCTGCTGCTGCTGCTGCTGCTGCTACTGTTGCTGCTGCTGCTGCTGCTGCTTCTGTTGCTGCTGCTGCTGCTGCTGCTGCTTCTGTTGCTGCTGCTGCTGCTGCTACTGCTGCTACTGCTGCTGCTGCTACTGCTGCTACTGCTGCTACTGCTGCTGCTGTTGCTGCTGCTGCTGCTGCTGCTGCTTCTGTTGCTGCTGCTACTGCTGCTACTGCTGCTGCTGCTGTTGCTGCTGCTGCTGCTGCTACTGCTGCTACTGCTGCTGCTGCTACTGCTGCTACTGCTGCTACTGCTGCTGCTGTTGCTGCTGCTACTGCTGCTACTGCTGCTGCTTCTGTTGCTGCTGCTGCTGCTGCTACTGCTGCTACTGCTGCTGCTGCTACTGCTGCTACTGCTGCTACTGCTGCTGCTGTTGCTGCTGCTGCTGCTGCTGCTTCTGTTGCTGCTGCTGCTGCTGCTGCTGCTTCTGTTGCTGCTGCTGCTGCTGCTACTGCTGCTACTGCTGATGCTGCTGTTGCTGCTGCTGCTACTGCTGCTACTGCTGCTGCTGCTGTTGCTGCTACTGCTGCTGCTGCTGCTGCTACTGCTGCTACTGCTGCCGCTGCTGCTGCTGCCTTCCACCTCTGGGAGACGATTCTCAAGCGTCATCTTGTAGCCCTGAAAGACAAAGTCTTCTTAAAACGCTCCATGTATCATTTTTTTCTTCCTCTTGCTCCCCTCCCAACGCTGCCCTCTCAACGCTGCCCTCCCAACGCTGCCCTCTCAACGCTGCCCTCCCAACGCTGCCCTCCCAACGCTGCCCTCCCAACGCTGCCCTCCCAACGCTGCCCTCCCAACGCTCCCCTCCCAACGCTGCCCTCTCAACGCTGCCCTCCCAACGCTGCCCTCCCAACGCTCCCCTCCCAACGCTGCCCTCTCAACGCTGCCCTCCCAACGCTGCCCTCTCAACGCTGCCCTCCCAACGCTGCCCTCCCAACGCTGCCCTCTCAACGCTGCCCTCCCAACGCTGCCCTCCCAACGCTGCCCTCCCAACGCTGCCCTCTCAACGCTGCCCTCCCAACGCTGCCCTCTCAACGCTGCCCTCCCAACGCTGCCCTCTCAACGCTGCCCTCCCAACGCTGCCCTCTCAACGCTGCCCTCCCAACGCTGCCCTCTCAACGCTGCCCTCCCAACGCTGCCCTCTCAACGCTGCCCTCTCAACGCTGCCCTCTCAACGCTGCCCTCCCAACGCTGCCCTCCCAACGCTGCCCTCCCAACGCTGCCCTCTCAACGCTGCCCTCCCAACGCTGCCCTCTCAACGCTGCCCTCCTAATACTGCCTTCCTCCTAAATCTGAGCTACTGAACTGCGTCGAGGAGTGATCACTTCCGCCACCCCGCCTGAGGCCTCGGAGGACGGCACCGTTTGGGCATCTGCAGGTTCGATAGTTTCTTAAAGTGTGAGTTTGTTTACATTTTCAAGAGGGAAGATCTTCCTCTTGGCTGCTTCAAGAGCCAAGAGATCATTAACGTATCTTTTTAACTACCTGATCCCTCACGAATTGCCTCGTTTGCGTCACCTTGGGAACTTATTAAAGTTTTAAGACAAGCTGATACAGAAGTTGAGGCAAATATGAACATAAATAATAAATATCTAATTAAATGTATAATAAACTAAACTAAATTTCTTTCAAATAAGAGCTAGCCTAAATTTCTTTCAAATAAGAGCTAGCCTAAATTTCTTTCAAATAAGAGCTAGCCTAAATTTCTTTCAAATAAGAGCTAGCCTAAATTTCTTTCAAATAAGAGCTAGCCTAAATTATTCCCGTCCTTGGTGCTTACAGAGAACACGGAGCAAAGTATCACTCTGGGTGAAAACTCCGCCCTCACTAATATGGAAATTATATGCCATTTCAAAATTACATCAACTTCTTTCTGTAAAGACTCGTGTCCGCCACTTCTAGCCGACCTTTTGAATTTCCCGCGCGCGCCTTTTTGTGTGAAGCCGTCACATGGCGGGCGGGAGACGAGCGCTAAGAGGATCAACACAAATCCCGTAGCAAAGCCGATTGGATCCTATTGAGGAGCGCGCCTAGGTGATTAAATTCTAATTACGAAAATGGCGCCGATTCGCAAGTGTTAATAGAATGGTAATGAAGTGAGAGATTGAGGAGTTTATGAGCAAACATGGCGTGTAGGAGGAGATAGGAGGCTTCCCATTGTTGGAACTTAATGGTATTTTTTTTTCTTCAATTTCTTTCCTTCGTCTGGCGTCTCTCGGCGACTGATTTGTCTTGTTTGTTTTCTTAATGGCTTCTGTGACAGGCTATCTGAGTCATGACTCCGTCGGCACATGCAAACTACAGAATTACTTTGGTTTCTTTTATAGAGACTGAATATGATCGTGTTTAAATGAATAACTGGAGATATTAAATGAATAACTGGAGAGTTAAACTGGAGATATTCGTTTATTCAAGGACTGTTTTGGTCTTTAAAATTTATAATACCACTTACAAAAGCCTAAAAAAGGATTTTTTGTAGCTTTCCAATCTTGAGTTCTTTAGCATAGCTGTGGTACAGCGGTTAACTTTTTCATTTACATTTACTGACCCAGGCTCGAATCCTGGCAATAATGTAGATTTAAATTACTCTATCACAATGTAAATAAATAAATCTTAATGTATTAAAAGCATAAAAAGTGCAGGGAGGGAGAAGAATATAGTCCAGTGTGCAGGGAGAATCTGCAAGGTCCTCCTCTGAATGCCATTTATTCTTTTCACCAAGACTATGGGTCCACACATTTACGGGTTATTCATGCCCGTGCCACCTCTTGGGTAATCTTCATTAATCATTGGTCCACACTATTGACCCTTATGTAAACAAGGGGGATAGTTTAACCCTTTGTTATATTAATTTGTCTTCTATTAAAGCTACAATACGGCGTACCACAGGCTATTGAGAGTTAATTGTAGTATATTAAATTAACCATCAAAACTTTCAGGACATATTGTTCATAAATATAGATGTATTTTTTACATTTATTTGATGTCTTGAGAAGAAATGAATATATATTATCTAGTTCACGTTCAGGTAAGTTCTTTAGGGTAATAAAAATTCCTTGCTAAATTATAAGAGTGACTTAAGCTACCATAGATATTGCTTTTAAACTTACAAGTAATTTCTATGCAGTGAAATATCAGGAAAGTAACATCTTTTCTCCATTTGTCATCAATCAAATTTATGGAGAGAACTTGATCATTTTGGATATGTTCAGATAAGCCAAACTGTTTGGATCGAAAGAATATAATTATATAAATATAATTGAATCAAATTCCATTCGATAATCTTGGGAGGTGATCATATTGAAGGAATTTTATATGGAGACTTGATAGCAATGGGAGACTGTGGGGTTCCTGCTACCCCCCCTCCCCCCCACCTTGCTGAGGGCCCCAGTTAACACAGATGAGTCCCCCCCACCTCTCATAAGGGGGGCCCCCACCTCTCATAAGGGGGGCCCCCACCTCTCATAAGGAAGGCCACCACCACAGAGCAGTGAGGGCCCCCACCACAGAGCAGTGAGGGCCCCCACCACAGAGCAGTGAGGGCCCCCACCACAGAGCAGTGAGGGCCCCCAACACAGAGCAGTGAGGGCCCCCCACCACAGGGCAGTGAGGGGCCCCCCCACCACAGGGCAGTGAGGGCCCCCCCACCACAGAGCAGTGAGGGGCCCCCCCAGAGCAGTGAGGGCCCCCACCACAGAGCAGTGAGGGCCCCTCCCCCACACAGAGCAGTGAGGGCCCCTCCCCCACACCGAGCAGTGAGGGCCCCTCCCCCACACCGAGCAGTGAGGGCCCCCAACACACAACAGCGCGAGAACTTGGCCCGCGACTTCGTCAGTGAGGTGTGACATCGCCCCATTTTCTCTGGTTATAAGCTGGGAACCCCACCGGGTGTGTGGCCCTGGGATAGGAAGGGGATGGATGAGGGGATGGGGGTTAGGGGAGGAGGTGGTCGTGAGGGGGTTAGGGGGGAAAAGGGGGGATGGATAGGGGGGGTTTGAAAGGACGAGAGACTTAAGTAATTAGGCATTTGGACGCTGTTTTATCTAGGTCTGACTGTGTGAAGCGGGCAACCCGGCTTAGTGGGATGGGGATAGTGTCCACTGGCTTCCCCTTCCCATTTTCCCCTCTCATTCCCTCTCCCAGTCACTCCTCCAGCACCCGAAGTAATGGGGTAGAGGGTCGTGGTGCTTAAATTGCTTCTTTCCTGTTCATAGAGTGTTTTAGTTATTGTTATTGGGGGGAGATATTGTGGTTTGGGGTGTGGTATCATTGGATTGGGTGGTACAGTGTTTGGCCTCGTTAGTTGCAAGGTCGGCGTTCGATCCCCGATGGTCTAAGTGGTTGGGCACTGTTAATTTGACCCGTTGTTATATCCCAGCTCCTTGTTCTCATATTCCAGCTCCTTGTCCTCATATCCCAGCTCCTTGTTCTCATATCCCAGCTCCTTGTTCTCATATCCCAGCTCCTTGTCCTCATATACTAGCTCCTTGTCCTCATATCCCAGCTCCTTGTCCTCATATCCCAGCTCCTTGTCCTCATATCCCAGCTCTTTATCCTCTTGTCCTCATATCCCAGCTCCTTATCCTCATATCCCAGCTCCTTGTCCTCATATACTAGCTCCTTGTTCTCATATCCCAGCTCCTTATCCTCATATCCCAGCCCCTTATCCTCATATCCCATCTCCTTGTCCTCATATCCCAGCTCCTTGTCCTAATATGTGTGTAGTGTGTACTGCAGGGGTCGTTATAGGTGGAAATATTTCTTCAAGGGTGGCAGTGGGGCCGACAACGTCTGACCTATGACGCTCCCATACCTTGCTGGTGTCAGCTTGCAAAGTTGGGCGAGGCTAGCCACAAGCATCTGGCCTTCTACTTTGGATAGACATTCTATTTTATAGATTTAAATTATATTCTAAGAAAAGATAATAGTCGTTCCCTTACTTCCTTTAACTAATATTGAACCACACACGCTTAGAAATTAAATCGTTGCGTGTGAAATCCTAGCGTGTGAAATCCTAGCGTGTTAAATCCTAGCGTGTGAAATCCTAGCGTGTGTAATCCTAGCGTGTGTAATGCTAGCGTGTGAAATCGTAACGTGTGAAATCCTAGCGTGTGAAATCCTAGCGTGTGTAATCCTAGCGTGTGTAATCCTAGCGTGTGTAATCCTAGCGTCTAAAGTATAAGAGAAGAAAGAAGTCTCTCCTAAGGTCTGGGACTCGCTCCGTTACCCTTATTTTAGCGGCCATGAGGCGAGGGATTGACTTGCTCCCTGGGGGACAACACACTGCTAACCCACTTCCCCCATAAGCTTTACAATCCCGTGTTGCCGGCAGGCTAAATATGCCTTACGTGAGGCGTAGTCTTTTGCCCCTCGTCTGTACTAACGCATTACCCTCCGAGTACGCAGCATAAAAATTAAAAATTGATCATCTGTTTATGGTTAGTTTGGGGAAGGTGGTATGCCTAAAGGAGTTACATTTTTATGAAAGTTTATGAGATTTTGTTTTATTTTTTTGTGGGCGCTGGGGGGTATATAGTGGTAATGTGGGGTACTTGATAAGGACGAAATTCCTGGAGGAATGGTAAGAGAAGAGCCGTTATGGTAGAGGGGAGTTTGGGGCAATGGTTTTCTCAATTTAGTGTTACTAGATAGTCATCTGTGAGACTTCACAAAAACATTGCTCGTTAATTACTGGGGCCACGTGAATGATGTGTTGATGGGGGGAGGGGGGGTAAATGTTGCGGGTGTAACAGCCTAGTGGACCTGCTTGTTTTAAGGGACGGTATACACACACACACACACAATTTTTTTTGGTCAAAGATCTATAACATGGTCAAGATGGATTAAAACAGGATTCGTATAGTCCATCAATTTAGTCAATCTCTCCATCAACTTGATTCTACAGCAGGCAATTCCTTCCTCAGTTAATACAAGTTCAATAAGGAAGTAGAGTAGATGGAATAGATGGAACACATAATCTCTCTATATATCACTGTCAATCACATGTATCTATTTGTCTATCTCCCCTTCGATCCATCTATCTGTGAATATCATGTTTGAGCACAAAGCCCGTACTACGGTCATGTCTAACAACCTCTAATTGAGTCTAATTGTCCCACACGCAAACAAGCCAAAGGCGATGACCAATCAGCAGCTAGGGAGCGCTCGTTAGGTTGCCAGGCAGGAGGTAATTAGGCAGTTAAGGCTTGGCTGGGGTCGTTAACGCGTGTGTTAGGTCAGATCAGAAAGTGCCTTTTGGGTGTCTTAATTAACTCTGGGTTTGAAATCTG